ACTCACACACACACACACACACACACACACACACACACACACACACCACATATATAGTACGAGATGGGCGTGGCGGCAGGGACGCTGCTGAAGCAGGAGATTATCAACTTGTACGACGAGTTCCTGCCCTGGGTCGAGGAGCAGGCCCTGGCATACGCCAAGCATCTGCCCAGGTCGCTTGTTGACATCATCACGGACATTGGGATCGAGGCCGGCCTGGAGATGGAGGTGCTGCTGACGGAAAAGTACACGCCGAAGCACTTTGTGGAGGAGATGAAGGGCATTGCCGATGGGGCAGGCCTCACGTACAACAAGGTCCATCGCTACTCGATGTTCCCGGAGCTCATCAAGGCAGCGTGCACCATCATTGCTGGGTGGGGCAACGCGACCAAGGACGGGAGCTTGACCCAGGTTCGTGCCCTCGACTGGGGCGTGGACAACCCGATGCGATATGCTCCGATCACCTTTGTGTACCACCCCGAGGCGGGGCAGGGCAACGCGTTCATGACCCAGGGCTTCCCCGGCTTTGTCGGCGCCATCACCGGGTACTCGACCGAAACGGCCATCTGCGAAAAGGTGTGGATCCACTCCAACGAGACTATTCTGCAGGGCCGCCCCGGCTACCCGTGGCACTTTCTCCTTCGCGACATCCTGCAGTTCGACTCGACCATTGCAGAGGCCACCGCCCGCATGCAGGCCGCCAAGCGGACCGCATCCATCTTTGTGGGTGTCGGCTCGCGCGTCGACGGCCAGGGCCGCATCTTCGAGTACTCGTACGACCAGCTCAACGAGTTTGACTGGAACACTCCGTTCCCGGGCTACGCCCCTACGCCGGCCGAGCATCCCGCCATGACCGATCTGGTCTATGTCGACAAGCACTCGCAGCCGTCGTCCCATCCTTGCACCGCCTCGCTCCTCGACGCCATCCACGGCGACATTACGCCTGAGGCCATCGAGCAGGACTTTGTCTCGTGGGTCGAGACCGGCGACATGATGATCGCCGTCTATGACTTTGGCACAAACTCGGTCGACGTCTCTGTGGCCTCGCAGGATCCCGAGGCCAACCCCATCCTCAAGGCCTATGAACGCCAGTTCATCCGCTACGACATGGCCGCGCTCTTTGCCGAGCCGCGCCCATAGAGCCGCCCATACGCCGTTGTGCCAACGCATTGAACTCTTCACCCCTCCACACCACGCTACTTACTCCTTGCACCACCACCCTTGTCCTCGAGGCCGAGGCAACCGGATCGATTGCGGCCGTCGAGACTCTTATGAAGCATCCTTGCAGCCACAGCAGCTTGACGACACATTCACCTTGTCGACATGACTCTGGCCAGTCGGCCTCGGGCTGGTGAGCGTACATGCGTACCAGACCAGGCATGTGACATGCGGCGATCGACCTGGCATCGGGTCCAATTTGTAGTTCCGGCCAGTCAGGCCATGATCTGGCTCCCATGTGAGAAGAAGCAGCCTGTGCCGACCGGGGTTGGCTTCGGCTGGCTGGCCAGCCAGCAGAAATGGAAGCCAGGCTTCGGAACAGTCTCTCCCCCTCCCACCTTTGTCACGGGCGCACACTCGACACAGCGTCATGGGCAGCACCAAGTCCAAGCCGGCGCCGCCTGCAGATGGGGTGTGGAATGCCAAGGCAACGTACTCGGTCCTCGACGATGAGGAGGTTCCGCCGACAGCCGAGGCGGTGGTGGCAGCGCGGGCGATGGCGGCGGCGGCGGTGGGTGGCGGAGGCGTCGAGGGCGGTGACGTGGAGCTGGAGCGGGCGGTGGCGGTGCTGATGGGCGCTGCGGTGGGCGATGCGCTTGGCGCACCGTTGGAGTTTGCTCCTCTGCAGTATGGAAAGACGTTTGTGCGCGGTCTGGACGACGAGGAGGTGTGGCGGACGCCCGGCTATAACCGGTTCAGCTTGCAGCCGGGCCAGTGGACCGACGACACATCGATGGCGCTCTGCCTCGCCGACTCGCTGCTAGTTTGTGGACGGCTGGACGCCCGCGATGTGCGGAGAAGGTTCGGCATGTGGTGGACGAACGGGCTCAACACCTCGTTCGGCTTCTCGCCGCTTACCGCCGATCACGGTCGCCGCGCCGTCGGGCTAGGCGGCAACGTCGGCGCTTCACTCCGCGAGTTTGAAGAAAACAACTCGATGTACACCCAAGCTGGCAACTATGCCACCTCAGGCAATGGCTCCATCATGCGCAACGCGCCGATCCCGATCTTCTTCCACAACACGCCTGACGCCGCGCTCGACGCCGCCTGGGCGCAGAGCAAGACCACCCACCGCGGCGACGAGGCCGGCGACGCTGCGCGGCTGCTCACCCACATCACACTCGCAGCCATCAGCCGCGCAAGTGAGCCGGCTTATGCCACCATGGGTGAATGGCTCGACGGATCGGGCGTGCTCGACGGGTTCGAGGCGTACACGTACTCAGTGGGCCGACTGGCGCGCGGCCTTGCCGAGGAAGCACACCCGTCCAACAGCCATCTTGATCTTGCCGATCGGGAGTGGACCTGGCGCGACGCCGAGTTCCGGTACTGTGCACGCCGGGCCAAGTCGCAGCCGGGCTACATCGGCTCGTACGCCATGGACTGCCTCGCGATGGCGCTCCACTGCGTCCACTCGACGGCCTCGTTTGAGGCCGCGCTGCTCAAAGTTGCCAACCTGCGCGGCGACGCCGACTCGGTCGGCGCTGTCGTCGGCCAGCTGGCTGGCGCCTTTTACGGCCTTGCCGCCATTCCACCGTCGTGGATCGAGGCCGTACAGCGTTACGACCGCGGCGGCGACATTGCCACCAAGGCCGTCCTTCTCTACACTCATTCTTACGACGGCTCCACGCCCAGTGACCCGCCGCCGGTTGCGCCCAGCCTGCGCGAGGAGCCCGCCACCAGCGGGACAGGCGAGTCCACGTCTCAGGCAACCGCCACCGATGCCGACTCGAGCGGGTCATCCATCGCCGCGCAATAGAGCCACCAACCACGAGATATCTCCCTATGCCAGCCAGTGGTGAGTCTGACCATCCTAACCAGCCTACCTAGACTCGCAGCGTGTGGTGGCCTGCCACTGGCAGGAGGTGGGCAGCGAGTGCCAGCAGCGAGTGCCAGCAGCGAGTGCCAGCAGCGAGTGCCAGCAGACAGTGCCAGCCACTCATCTCATCCACATTCACGCCCACATGAGCTCTGCCGACAACTACAAAGACGTACGCCTTGTGTGCCCTGCTCCCCCAACTCCCCACTCTGTCCGTCCCCCTCCCTCCCTCCACCCTCCCCCACCCCCCTCCCCTCCCCCCCCCC